GGATGTCAACAAGAAGTGGGCGACCATTGACTACCACAAGGCACTTACGTTGGGACCACTCACCAAGAATAATTTAATTTCAAGTTAATTTGAAGTCTTTTGTGGGTCCTTCATATTTGTTATATGTTGACATTCCACATGTGGTTTGTCATAAATAAGAATGACCTTAATGTTTAGTTAGCTCAATGTTATCTACTTATATTAATGGAATTTCGTTATCCTTTCCAATGTTGGTTTTTTACATACAATACAATAACCAGTACTAAACATTATATGTTCAAGTGATGCACATAGCATGTACACGCCATGCACATGAAATCAACAGGACATTCACATACATCGCTGCATCAGGAAGCCTTAGAAGTATAAATGCCAACACAAGGCCCTTGAATGCTAAGTAATAAAATAAGGATTATATGCTCAATACAGAAACCATGTGATTGCAAAGTGTACTAAAATTAGACTAACAAGCTAATTACAACCAATGGCAACAAAAGGTCCTTGAATGCTAAGTAATAAAATTAAGAATACATAATGAATGCTAAAACAATGCAATGCCAAATTTATCTAAAATTACAATTACATACCAAGTACTCAAATTATGATTGGAATGGTAACCCAATTGTTTGGTTGTAACAATAAAACTACTAAAATAAATGGTGTCCACATATTGATTCACACAAATGCACGACCTTTGATGAACTCGATGGTAAGCTTCAATATGAAAAAAGGCATGTTCTGAGGTTTTACTTGGTGAATGTCCAAGCCCGATGATATGTAGTTAGCAAATTTGAGTAAGAAAACTCCATTACGACCTACTAGAAAACAGCAACTCCAGGTTACAACACAATACATATTGAAGACATTTACAATTAAGTACGAGATAAGTACGAAAGGAACATACCTGTTCTTCTATTGGCCGCAATTCATCCTCGCTTGAATCTCAAAAGGTTTATCCATCACTTTTGGGTTTAGGTTCAAATCGCTTTGAGCAACCTAGAATCTTGATGCCATTAAAAGTTGGGGTATTACGAAACACATATGAGTAAGTTGTTTCTTCATTTTTGACCACCTTGACCTTGACCAATGCAAAGTAGAAGATGGACATCAGCCAACATCCAATGGTCGCCATTCACATAACATGAGATGAATATTTGGTTAACATCATTCCATGCACGCATATGTGGCGTCACAGTTGCATCGGCTAACACAACCTTTATCAAGTGCTTTGAAGGTGTAAAAACCGAAGCTTATTTTGCCTTTGCCTTGGACTTGCCCTTACCATTTCCTGCAACAAGGATCTTAAATTATGCATATTCTTGTTTCATTTTTTCCTACACCGATGCATTGCAACACGATTTTAGATTTTCCCACAAAACAAAAACCAAGGACATGTATACCTATTTGTAAATGGGGTGCAAAACTGTATTACGATCATAAATAGACGGAAGAGAGGGTAACAATACTAACATAACACTTACCCAGAAATAGAAGTCAGCAATTGTCCACCGCACCTCGAATTTTCTAGGATGCTTCGTCGATCGCTTCCTTAGAAGGTAAAGGCCAACGTTGATGTGCTGAATCTAAGGTCAAATGTATTGTAAAAGCTAAAATTAAACTATTGTACTAGCTTATAATGTGGTAGACAGAAACTAGTTACAAATGAAGAACAATTACTTACATTGTTATTCAAAGTACCCTCGGACTGAAGGAGTGTGGTAAAAAAATCCTGACCTACAATAGCCAATCCAAATAAGTTCAGTTTATCACTAGTACACACTAAAAAAAGGACAGGTTGTTAAGGATATATGGACATCGAGTTTGTATTCAATTGTTTTAATGATGACCAAAAGTGAACTTACCCCTGCGAACCCACCCAACGCGTTAAGACGTCGATGAAAACCTCCATATCCGACTTTGGGATAATCTGCATGGGTTTCAAGACAACAACAAAATCCTCGATTGAATGACCATCACTAACTTTCCTTCCGTTGTAGGATTCGAGAGGGGTGAAAGGGTGCACCAACTGTATTCCTTTATGCTTTCGCTACATTCCTTTACCAAGAAAGGGCTTCGAACCAGATGGACCGGTGGCCTTGTTCACTTCAGTGCCTTCGTTAATGTGGGTACCATGCTTGCTGACCTTTGTGTCCTCGTCTTCCTCTCGAAGATAGAAAACTTGTTTTTTCCCTGATCTGACTGACCCTACCAACTTCTTAAGGGTCGGGGGCTTGTTAAACGATTTTCCATGTGAGTCGCTATGTTGATGCTCAAGCGCGACAGCCAACTTCATGCGGGCATGCCACTCCTCCTCTAATGCCTCTATAACTGTCCTCAACCAAACTTCCATTGTCATAAAAAATTCTTCAAACTGTCACTTAAAAATAAACTCAAACGCCCGTGTATAAAAAACAGTGATTTCATATCATAAGTCCACTGAAACTGAATCCGGTCAGAAACAGTACATGCGTGTAAATTCAAACTACAATTTATAGGGATTTATGTACTCATCGCTGATTAGGACGATGATGGCAATGCTTCCATGCGTGTGTGGTATCCGTTCTTCGCCTTCCCTTTCGGTCCAGATAAAGGTGTGGCCTCGAAGTCTTGATCAACATCCGAAACACCTTTACTTCCATCCTCTGGTTTTGCATCCGTACCAGCCTCAACATCATCAAACATGACATTCCAGTAAGGCACCATCTTTTCTTTCTCGATCGGAGTAATCGGGGTGGACAACAAACTGCATCGTACAAAATCAGTGTTGCATACGTAAGTACAACCAATTCGTAATACTAAATTCACTAAATTTATTAAAACTCGAACAAACATGTACCTTTTTTTGAGCAAAAAGACAGCTCCTTAGCTTGTGATGGGATGGATTTAGGTAGGTGTCCTAGCGGCAAATTTGGGGCCATAACTGAGGTTTCTTCGTGCGCACCTTCGCATAGTTTTTCGACCTCAAGTACGACAATGTTTCAAACAACCAAATCTACAAAATTTAAAGCGATAATGTCAATAAGTTGCAGCGAAAATGAATGCAAAAGTGCGTTCAACTTATAACAACAAAATAAAAAGGAAATTACTTGAAAAGCTTAAGGAAACTCCCTTAAGTTATATGAGTCCCGGATCGTTCCCCCCGGTTTCTCTGCAGGGTTTTCTTCTACAACCTTATGGTGGGTCAAAGCGGTTATGGATATGATTGGCATCAACACTTGGAATGGTGCAGTTCCCCAAGGATATCTTTCCCATTTTTCTTCATCTTCTACCAGCTGAAGCAGGTGGTAGTCAATGGTTGACTCCTTCTCCTTGCCCAAAACAACAAAGTGGGCGAAGTACAGTAGATCGAGCTTGTTGGCACATGTTGAATTACTCCACCAATTGTTTCATGGTTATCTTCTTCTTCCCCCTAAAATAGATGTCTCTAAGACAACATTCATCATCATTCTCTTTGGGGAGAGGGGAATTCTCCATAACTGCGTCCCGTCACCAAACAGAATTTGCAGCTCCCGAAAGTCTCGATATGTTCCCCAAAAAGGAAGGAGACGAAATCATCACTCACTCTATCATTAATAGCCCTAAGGATAACATAGTTGGTGAGTTGCTCGAACTAGTCAATGCCTTCCACATCAACCAAATGGCTAAAACACAAAGCCTTAAATTTGTTCAATAGATCCTTTGTAAATTGGCCTCTAATATTACCCAGACACCATAAGGCATATGACAGACAAGAGATGATTGCAAGAAACACCTCATCCGACAAACACAAGAGTTCCGTTGGATGTAGATTTGACTTTGGACTTGCAATATTTAGAACATAAGCAAATCAATTAAATAAGATAAGCATGCACATAGGATTTGCACATCATATGCATATTGTCTGCCCAAATTAAACCAGTTCATCAACCAACTACAAGTATGGTGCACATCAACATATCTAACAATTCATGAACAAAATTCAATCGAATATTTCCAGCAATATCAAAAGAATATGCAAAAATTATACATATAGTATGCACAAATTCAACAAATTCCTGAACAAAAATTAAGCATGCCTAATATATAGACATGCATGGATTATGCACGCAGTATGCACGAATTGATGAACATGTTTCAATCAATTAATTTCCACCAACCTCTAAACCACATGCACAATAGAAATTAACATCAAACAACTTAACTATACAAAACACTAATTCGCACCCAAAATTCCCAATTTTACAAAACCTAGGTTCAAATAATTAAATTTCATTTCAAAGTGTACCTTTTTTGGATTTTGCCGTTGAAATCTATTGGAAAGGATGTGTAAATGCTAGGGTGGAAACAACTTTTTCAAATATTTCGAAAGGATGTGCAAATGCACAGCACAACACCTCCTAAATATATAGAGTGGATGGAAAAGGTTCCGTCGGTTGGAAACTGGGGTAGAAAAGGGTTCTGTTGGCCGAAAATTGGGTGGAAAAGGTTGCTTCAGTCGGAAATGTGGTGGAACAGGGTTGCGTCGTTTAGGGTTATGGTTCTTGGAGCTAAGGATTGGGCGCCATAGATTTTCAAACAAGGAGGAAGAAATGCTAACTTGGTTTGACAAAATTACAAGGGCAATTAGATCATTTTAAGGTGTAGAAAAAATCATATTTTTGTGCATCACGTGCATATAGCGTGTGCATATTTGAAATGTCTTATTTATGTCCCAATATTAAGAAATTGTCCAATTTTTGGGCATTCCCACCCCCCCCCTTCAAAAAAAAAACAAAAAAGAAGAAATAATCACTATCCCTTAAGGAATTTGCGAGAGGTGGAAATGATTTTACAATCATACTCATATTCTAACCGATACTAATTTAGTATTACATTTTTCATTTGATTATTTATTGAAGTAAAATATATTTTCTTTAACAGATTAGGTTATATTACTCATTAATATAAACGGGTCGAGTTTGGATCAAATATTCGTCAATTTAACTGGTATTACAAGATTGGAACCATTAGAATATTAAATATGTCATGAAAACAGCAAGAACACCGAGCTCTACCTGATAGGATGATTTAAATGAATTGGACCAATTGGTGTTGTGGTGTGGATTGTGTAAGAATTTGAAATTTGAAATTAGAATTTGATGGAAGCTGTCAACCGCCAACTTCATCCCCAACTCATGATAAGACCTTATCTCTCATTCTCTTCCAAATTCAACCTCAAATGGTGTTTTTCTCTTTACTCTCACTCGACGACACCCTTCTCCTCCGCTTCCGCTTCAACAAAATCCGTAGGGGTTGGTGATAGGGCCGCCGCCGCCAAGGTTTCCGACGCTGCTCAGCTCAAACACAACTGGTTGGCCTCTCTCTCTTGCCCTTTTCCTCAGAACCCAGACACCTTGGATTCGACCAGTACCAATTCGGATTCCAGTTGGGTCATTGGGGTCGACCCGGATGTTTCTGGTGCTTTAGCCCTCTTGAAAGGGGATGATGACCCCGCTTCTTCTTCTGCTCAGGTTAACTAACTAACTTAACTGCCTTCCTGCTTCAACCACTACTCTTTGATTTCATAATATCTTAATTTTTAAGAGCAGTTAATTTGTTAGTTAGTTATTCAGTTTAATGTTATTATTGTTTCTCATTCTGGGTATGAACTGTTTCTGTTTCGGTTTGTTTCGATTCAAGGATAAATTCTTGGCAGTTTAACATAAATTATTTTGAACATTGAGAGATTTTTTCATGAGTTTGATAGATCTTGTTACAATGCCATGGATTTTCACTTGCTAATCCTGCTCTGCTTGTTGGCCCTGTCAATTTATCCAATCTCGTTTTGTTTTTCGATTTCTCAGGTATATGACTCTCCACATTTAAGAGTTCTGGTGGGTAAAAGAGTTCGGAGGCGTTTAGATGCAAAGTCTATTGTTCAGTTGCTCAGCAGTTTCGATGCTCCCCCTGGTATGCTCTCCTATTCCTGTCATTATTTTCCTCTATCCTCCAGTCCTTTTGGCATACTCAATTGCGTTTTCATGTCTCAGGCACGGTTGCATATGTAGAGCAGTCGACCCCCTTTCCAAAAGATGGAAAGCAGGTTAGTGTGATATCTCTGAGTAGAGTATTCCTTGGTATTGTTTTACATCTGGTTCCTTTGTTGTTTTTGTTTTCTTTTGTAAATTGTGCATATGAGAATTGCTCGGGAATTCATTGATAGAAAAGGTTATTCCATATTGACTTACCCTTGTATCAGGCCTCGGTACGGCCTATACATGATTGGGCCATGACGGTTTTGGCAAGGTTAAAAATGGATGGTACTTATAACCAGACCCAACCGTTGGAGTACCTTATAGGAAAGAAAAAATGATTTTCTTTTGATCTCAAGGCTGCTACCGAATCCTTACCAGTTATCCTGACGTCTTGTATGATTGCATCATTGTCATCCCCAGTATTACAAAAACCTGGAAAGAATCAGAGCCATTAAAACACTTATCTTTGATTTCAGCATAAGAGATTACTAGCAGGCTAGTTAGTCTTTAACACCGGCTCTGCTACCGTGTTAGATAACCATTGACTTTGAAATCTTAAGTCTTCAGGGAATGGACCAGCAATGCATATCAAGTTAACCGCCCTTCCTCATGTGCAATCCCATCTTGCATGTGTAGGGCCAACAGAGGGAGGGAGGGACTTAAACCGATGGGTACAACTTATCCTTGCAAAACTACTACTACATATTCCTAGTAAATGTGAGACTATGCTAAAGGAAATTTCCATCAAATTTTACAAACTGATTTTCAGTTCCAGTAGATTCTCTAAGTGAATATTTTGCCATATTTTCCAGTTTATATCAAGATATTTATCATTAGGCTTTTCGGTCAATTATTTTAGTTGTAAGAACTTAAATTTCACCAATTCTCTTATCCATTATTGCTTTTTCTTAAAGTTCTTCTTTCTTGAATGTCCTAGACTACTGTGATCATTTTCATTTTGCTTGACTGATTGCCTTCCAAATGAAAAGGGACAAGAAAACAGAAATCTGTTTGAATTCTTTTGGTTCTTGCTGAGAGTTTTTTCCTGGATGAAGGGATGGTGGAGTGGAGGTTTCGGGTATGGACTATGGATTGGGATCTTAGTTGCCATGGGGTTTTCAGTTGTTCCAGTGTCATCTATTTTGTGGAAGAACAAATTTGAAATCAGTGGAAGCATGTATACAAAGGTTGGTTGGTCCCAACAATTTATACAGGCTATTTACAGCAGTTTAAGTTCAGAATTTATCATAAATCTAGTTGAATAGAAACAATAGGCTAGCCAATGGTTTGATTCCTTCCAATGTATAAAGTACAACAAAAAAAAAAAAAAAAAAAAAACCGACCAACTCTTTTACCCACCAGAACTTTTTTGTATTTGACATTTCTTGATTTAATTTTTTAGAATGTCCTGTGCGAGAACTTTTCCATTGACATTTGCAAATGCTAAGTATTGACATGATGGGATGATATCCAGACAGTTGCAATTTCATCAGTGAGTTCTATGTTGTAAAGCAAAACAAATATTGTATATTAATTCTAAGTTTTGACTTGATAGGATGATAGCCGGAGGGTTGCGTCTGCATTATTTCCCTCATTGAGTTCCATGTTGGAAAGGAAAAAAGATCATGGTATGTATGTATATATAATATGTATATAATGTTTCAATTATTTGTGATAAAAAAAAATTCTCTAGATTGAGAAAGACAGATGGAACTAAAGAAATAAATGCGAAGCTCCCAGTCTACTTTTACTTAATCGAGGAATACAGGAATGTTGGACTGCATTTTTCAAAGGGCCCCTTTAGCTTTGCGCTGCTGTAATGTAGAAGACATGTTTGTTCATATCACCTGTCTTGTGCTCTGTGGTATAAACGCCTGTGATAATCCTTGCAAAAACATATTCAAAGTCTATTCGAGTGTATGATCCTTTTAATCTACATGAATCTTATATGATCTAATTCTGTGATCAAAAGAAAAAGGGATTTTAGTGTTCGATTTACTGCAATGTTCTTTACTCTTCTCTTTTGAAAGGATAGTAAATGATGTTCAATGTTGTGAATTTTCCTGATATTTTAGGGAGGGCTGATGCACTACTCATTGCCGCGTACGGTAAGGGGATAAAGTCAGACTTATCATCCAATCCAGAGATACCATAAATCCTACAGATTGCCCTTCTCCGAGAATCACACTTCATCCCCATTCCTTGTTTTTGTTGCTGTTGGCCGTCTGTTATAAACGAAAGAGAGGAATGATGCGTGCAGAATGCAGCAGCTTGGGCAGATTCAGATAATTGCAAAGACAGTTGGATTATTGGCTTCACGGCTAACAAAGGTTTTCAGGAACTAATTCTGGCAGGGCTTTTGTGGTTTATACTTTGGTCGGAGGCTTGATTGGGATGAAAAGATGAAGAACATTATGTTGATCAACGGCACTTTAATATAGAAGCCTGTAATAGTTCAGCTGAGCTGGGTCTAGAACATTATTGTGTACTACTATTAGCTGTTAATCCTCATGAGACTTGAAGGATAGATCACTGGACCATACACAGAAAACCGTTGGGGAACCAAGGAGAGGATCGAGACGATCATCTTACGACTCAAGATAATGATATTCACACACTAATAAGCTCTAAACATAAAACATATTTTGCATTAGATTCCTCTTGCTAGCAAAGCCAGGCAATTTCCCCAAACATTAGACCTCTCCTTACAAGCAATGAAACAAAGCATACTTGGAAACATATATCATCATCCAACGAACGAGATTACTTCCATCCGACCCCATTGGCAGAATATAGTTGAAACGAAAACTTTACAAGGAAACTGAAAATGCAAAATCCAAACCTAGGCAAGCTTCTCTCGAAGCAAAATACAGAATGAATTATCCATTTCTGGTTCAACATGGAAAGGAAGAAAATACACTTGAAGCTCTCGTGATTTGTCGCCCATAAAATGTGAACGTTGTAGTTACTCATGCTGTTTTTTAAGGGTCACCTCAAAGATGACTCCTTCAAGGTTTCCAACCACAGAACGAGTCCCAACTACTTCATTTATCTGCATCCCACACCGTGCAGCTTCGCTAATGACCAACGAATCCATACTGCGCACAGAAAAATCCAATTGCATAAGAGAGGGAAGGGAATTATAAACAATAGAACTCTAAGCACATTGAAAGTCATGATATCAGCAGTGATGAAACTTCTTCACATGATATGATCTTGAACCACACCAAAGCATATGAATTCTAGGTGATAATGTTAAGAGTAACAACTGGTGCAAGATAGAAAACATCGATGACATGGTGGAGATCTGTAGCTTTTACTCCCACTCTAACCAGTATAGGACATAAGCACGGAAAGCAAATCAGTCATCTTTTAACGGGATTATGATCAAAAGAACCCTAAACCCTAATTTCTATCTGCACTGTCTTTCAAATGGATCCTCAATTTCTGAAATCACGGAAAAGAACCGCCTGGAAAAGTGATGAAAGAAAAATGTTCAAACTGTGTACACATACCAAAGCAAATGCTTTGTTCTAAGGTTTTTTTCATTTATGCTCGAGAGCATGAACAATTAGCAAGAGCCACTGACTTAGGCAAAACACTAAACCAGACAGCACAGCAATAGACGATCCACCACCTCCTCACTTCCTCAACACATACAGCATTACTGAATACAATGATGTTTCCATTGAAAAATTTGGCAATTTAAAATTAGCAGTGATATTATTTGACTTAAACATTCAGAACTAAATTAACAAACAAATTTTCAGAATAAAATACCTTGGAATCTTTAGTTATGAATGCATAATGGCATCTACATGAGTAGATTTTGAATATGAATGATAATACCAACTACAGCAGCACTTATATAACTCTCTGGTATTACATTCAATAAAGACCTTTTCCGAAAATGTGAAGCAAAAAGCAAACTAATAACAAGTTGCTGCTTACGTCTTGGTTCGGGATACATAGGCTAGTATGAATTTGCATTGCCCATCCCTTCTAGCTTGAAGAAGTTTTTCCACAGTGTTGAAAAGCAAACAAATGCTCGATTGTTGAAAGCGTATGCATTGTCAAGGGTTATTCTTTTTCTTTCCTAAAATATGCTGGATGAGGAACTTAATGGTAGGATGAAATGTATGTCTACTTATTTCCTACAAAAGAAATATTGAGCAGATAACAAAATCACAATTTAATAAAAGGTGGAAACAGAAGGTACAAAATCATGATTTTCAATTTTCAATAGATGAAAATAAAGAACGCATTAAACTGGTTTCTATCAATGTACAGTGTAATCCAAACGACTCTAAATGCAGGTGCACTGACTCAGTTATGTAGCGAATAATGTAGTCATGCTGCTCAACTATGATAAAAATTAACAATTGTGGATATATATGTCAGCTCCAAGAATCAAATCAAATCCATTTGTATACGTCTGTAAAATGTGGCAGATCTGCTCCGAATTTCCCCATTCGAGTTTCTCAGCGACTAATTCTGCATACACATAACCAAATCGAATTATCAAACAAGTACACTACACATCATATGTTTGGAGATTATTGTCTCACCAGAACAGCAGTTAGACATCTCGGAAGATGCATGCAGATCTATATTTTTCTTCAGGATCTGCAACGAAAAACATATAATAGTCAAATAAGATTACTAGCAGACTAGAGATGATTCATCAAAATACCATGACCTTGCCTTGAGAACTTCATCATTATGGTCTGTTAATACAACTTTGCTGCAAAACCTGCTGCACAGTATTCCAGTAATGCCTGTAAATTGTAAAACGGAAGTTACAGAACCAATACAGATATCGCGCACGCTTACGTGCAGATACATATACATATACATATACATAAACATATAAAAATGTGGTATACCAACTATCTTATGCAATGATGGAGTCAAGAATTACATAAAGGGAGAGGAAGAAAATTGTTGAAAACTACATACCGACCCCAGAGCCTAATTCCAAAACAGTGCATCCTTGCAGAAGCACCGCATTGTTTGAAAGGTAATCGTTCAACAGCATTGCTCCAGGCCACACCAATTGCCCTGTGAGATCAAAATCGGCTGTTCCAAGAATAGTTAGAACTACAACAATGCATTATGTATAAAGGAACCTATGTGACCCCGTTGTCGACTTGTAAACAAAATTTAAAGTAATGGCTTCATTCAGATTAGGCACTTACCCATGTTATTCAAAATCCAATACATTCAAAAGGATCATTACTTA